TTCCTTGTGTTGAGAAAATAAACCATTATTATTATTATTATTTCATAGTAATATTTAACAAAAAATGCTCGTTTTTACGTCTTTAGCGCCCTGTAACAATTAACTTTTACATAAAAAATAAAAGGTAATTGTTACGGGGCGCTAAATAGTAAAAAACGAGCTATGTGAAATGAGTATAATGTCTGACGATGCGACCTCTTTCATAGTCACCCCACCTTTTTATTTTACCTTAGCTTCGTTGGCAGTGTAACCTGTGCTTTGTACAACTGCCGCAGTTTTCCCGTTGGCCTCATAATTGCTACTTTGTCTAACAAATAAAGGTTACCTACTCCGAAATTATGTTTCAGGCTGATCGATTTGCGATTTTAATAAAAGAATTAAAAGTGAACGACGTTTACGTGGTAGGTAATGTAAATTTCCATATCCTTGTCACGGCTGTTCAATTTACGATTGCATTGTTCTAAGTATTCATAGTAGTCTACTGTTTGTTAAATGAAACGATGATGACAAATTTAAACATTTTAATTCACTAAATGATTATCACTAATCACAGGTTTCTTATCACGGTATGGTTGCTTACGGCGTTATATACATATAAACCACACTCACTGTATTTATGTTGTTTTGTGACACAATGAATGAATGAATGAATGAAATTTGTGAATGACAGCAGTGTGTGTCAGGTATATTTCTTGATGATAAGCGACACGCCTACCCCTAAGACTTGCAGTGCCACTCTTAGAGCTTTAAATCACAAAGATCTGAAGGCACTGCTACTGCGCCCATCATCCCGAGACATAAGTCGATAAGTCCAATGTACCTGTAATTTCAGCAGCACCCTTGCTTCAAAATTGGAACGCATTAATGCTCACATTGCTGCCAGGCAGTACAAATAGGTAAGGTGTACTTCCCTGGACGAACTCTTTCACCAGGAACTCTACTGCTACTGACAGTGTCTGTTCTGAAAGTTGTCATCTGCCATTGAGCAGCCAACCCGTGACCATAGAGTGTGTACCCGTTCCGAAATATCGGGAAAATAAAAAGAAATCATACCGTGGGAAAAAACCTGTAATAAATGATAATCATTAAATGACATACATTATTCCAGGTCAAGTTTTTGTATAATTAATTAACGTTTTAACTACCTCTGTGGTCCAATAGTTTGTAACATAGACTACAGGGTTCGATTCCCGATTTGATTAATTTGGAAAAATGAACTTATATTGCATTGATTTAAACTTTTACGACTTTCGCACATTATTTGAATTTAAAAAAGCCGGACTTAATCGCGTATAGTTAAACATGTTTTAGTTACACGTTTTGGACATGTTGCAACATTAGTTTTAGTCGCATTAGCGGTTCTTGTTAAACAGTTCGTCCGGGGAAGTAGTGCCACCCTACCTATTTCTGCCGCCAAGCAGTAATGTGAGCATTACCGCATTCCAGTTTTAAGGGTTCTGGTGAAATTACAAGCATCACATCTTTACGATTTAAAGTTCGAAGTGACACTGCAACTGTTATGGATAGACGTGTCGCTTACCACTAGGTGCACGACTTGTTCGTCCCCGTCACTTGATATCATAAAAATATCCATGGACTCGAAGGGAACACGTCCGAAACGTCAAGGTAAATACAAAATATTTAATGCGATTAAGTTCCTTTTTGGTTTTTGGTCAAATAATTGTCTATCTGGTTTTGGTCTGGGTATTTTATGTAGTGCCCTGGGGTGAATTAATCTGATCTGAAACTCGCACTACAGGGATTTCCTTAGTTTGAGACTAGGTAATTGATGTGATTGTCAAGCACATTGTTGTTATTTATAGGGGAATATTAAATACTTATTGGCCCAGGCTTTAGCTACGAATTTACAGACTATATTAAATAAAAATTTGAATACTCAATTTTAATTAAATATATTTTTTACTCTATTACTCTCGTATCGGTGAAAGTTCGAATCCTCTGGAACTAAATATTTCGTAAAATGTGACGTAGTAACGAAGAACAAAGCAAGTCTTCGTTTAATAGTTCCTCTATGCTGCTGTAAGAGATCGAAATAGGTATATTTACCTAAAATTCAAGTAATAATTATGTAGAGTGGATTATACCTCCTTGCAAAGTTCCGGAATGATTAAGAATAAAAGACAGGAAGTCAAAACAAAGTAGCTATATTTTTAACCGACTTTAAAAAAGGAGGAGGTTCTGAAGCCGACTGTATTTTTTTGTGTAAATGTCACGCGATTACTCGTGACATACACACAAAAAATTATATACTCGGCATTTATGAACTAACTCTGATGATTCTTTTTCGTTGGAAAGAGAGTCGCCTCAGTATTGGTCCCGTTTAAATTTAAAGAAAATATCTTGAAGGGTGGCAAACTAGGGAATGAATTCGCGTACTTTCCGGTAACCAATTTCAATAAAAGTTGGCAAATAAGATATAATTCAACGACCTTATGAGGTCAGTTTTTTTAATAAAAATTTAAGTATAATACATACAATCACAGTGCTTATATTTTGTGTAAGCAATGTATGTATAATATGTATAATGTATAATATGTGTATTAAATTCTTATTTTGTTGCGTCCTCAATTAATTTATAAACCCTAAGAAGTTTATCCTGTAATTCGAAGGTTGCCTGGAAGAGTTTGCTATCTAGCAAAAAGTCTAATAACAGAACAATTCCGGGGATTCACTGGGAGGTACCGTCTACTCTATGTTTATTTCCTTCAAATGTAGGTAAATATACTCTAGCCTGTTTCGATCTTTGATTATTATACAACGGTAGTTCCAAAGAACTTGAAATCTTTTCACACGGCATTCCTATTATTACAAACACACAGCTTTTGTTCTAGGTCGTTTAAACATTCGCACAATGTTTTCGCATTTAAAACGGACATCAGCTATTCCGTCGATTTGTATAAGAAATCGAAAGATCAAACGAGTAATAATTTGTTTGTTTTTATTTGTTCATTTACAATACTGTATCATCGACGTTGTATTCCGGAAATGATTTTTTATTATAATTTTTTATATTATACTGGTCACGATATACAAAGACACGGTTGACCTATGACGCATGGGATTTTCAATCAGGCTAATTATATCTTAAAGTGGAGTTAGGTATGCTGTATATAGTCAAGAAGGTAGGTAAACAGCCCTGCAGTCTGGAGGGGGGGTCCCCACATAACCCCTGAGTCTCCCTGGGCTCAGGGGTATCCATAAAGATTTCCCCCCGTCAAAAAAAAAAAAAAGGTAAACAGCATAAAGAAATAGTTACATTACCGAAATTAAACACGAAGGTTAAGTCTAGGGACTAAATTGTGCTCCCGTAAGGCCTAAAATTATAGCAGTGTTCCATCTCTGTACGGCCATGCTAATTCGGTAGTTGGATAAGGTAAGTGTCATCTCTTAATTAAAGATAAAACATTGATTACACCATGTAACACGATTTGGTTTCTGTGTTAATAAATATCACTTTCTAATTGGTTCTAACATAAAAGCATTTTCGACAACAAGAGTTCGTCCAGGAAAGTACTGCCACGAATGTAAGCATTATTGCGGTCCGGCTTTCAAGGGTATGAGTGTAGGTAAAATTACAGGCATATATTTCTCAGGGTAACGGGTGCTTTGAGTGGCAATGCAACTGTTAGAGTGGTTACACACGGCGCGGCGCGTTTCACGAACGCGCGTTTGCATCGCTACACTTGCGATTTATCAGCACCTGCATCGATACAAACGTGCAATTGCATCGATGCAATTGCCCATAAATCGCAAGTGTAGCGATGCAATCGCGCGTTTGTATCAATGCAGTCGCGCGTTTGTATCAATGCAAGCGCGCGTTTGCATCGCTACTAAAAGTCACCGTGTCTATCGTCCATATAGATAGACAGTCGTGTCATTTACCACCACGCTCCTGACTTGTTCGTCCCGTCTCTTGGTAGGTACCATAAAAAACATGAAAAAACTATATTACCCTGCAAACTTAGCTTTCGTGGTCAGGACAATGAAAAGTTGTAATTTATGTACCATTAAGGATACGTACAGATTTTTGGGTCTCTTTATATAATAACAAAAAGAAATAAATCATACCCACTATTGATATGAAATAAATATTTATGAAATATCATTGAACCGGGCAGATGTAGACACTGTTTTACATTTTTTTATTACTCTATGTTTACGTTTCTTGTTTATATCTACTTAGCTGGGTTTTGTTTTTCTGTTTTATAAGTTTTCTTGAAATATACTCTTGCATGCATCTACTTTTATTTATTTCTACTTCTTAACAATAAGAATACATATTGTGTAGCGACTTTTGCACCTACGATAAACATTCGCCATATTATTATTAAGACGTAATTTGGACCCAAGACGCTTACAAAAACTCTACAATATTCTCGAAGAATAGCCGATTGTCGTATTTTATACAGCCATAAAAAATCATAGCCATTTCGTCAGGTACAATAGCATCAAAGCCAGCGTAAGCCTAGTAGTTACACTGTGGAATTTAAGTATCAAGATGCGGAGATAGCTCGGAGCGAAAAAGTAAGTAATAACAAATAACAAAGTATCATCTGGTTAAAACCGGTTTCCTTGGAAGCCGATAGATACATGTGAAAGGCTTTATTGCCCACACAGGGATAAAGGGAAATGAGTGATACGAGAGATGTAATGGTAAAATAAATGGACAGGTAATGTGACACGGAAATTGTTGGAGAAATGTACATACATTTTAAAACATATTGTATAAATTGATTTATCAAAAGGGCAAAGATAGTATCTAAATAGAAATTAAAGATAGTTTAGCTCTTTGCTCTTTTAATTTATGGATTAAGCAAACAAAAGTTGAAAATCGTTAAAAATATGTACTAATACATTTTAAAGCTAAAATAATCACATTGATGAATATTAACGTAAAAATGGGACTGCACAATTATTAGAAGAATCTGAATGGAACGAATAGAAAAAGTCCATTGTCTCCTCATTTAAAGTTTACTTACCTCAGTAAACACCAGCCAAATTAGTGTACCGGCAAACCAAACCGACGAAACAGAATTCGTCGCGGGAAACGTCCGAATACTAACGGAAAGAGAAATCCAAAAAGAAAAATATGTTCAGGCACTGAACTTGCTGTTCTAGATATTTGTTAACAATTTTTCACTCCACTTATCTGCACAATGTGTGACGGAATATCAACTTGGTGTTGCGCTCGGCAATACAACGGAACGTGGTGACTCAACGGCCGAAGTTGTCGGACTGAGGGACTGACACAGGAGCGCCGACGTTGAAACAAAAAGTTCGTAACTAAAATAAGCTCCATTTTCGATCTTTTTTAAATTTATTTTTAGAATACCCGATGTACTGGCCGACTGAAATGAACATTGCAATAAAGGACAATATTGTATCTAGTTATGTATTAAGTTTAAACACTCTTACTTTTAAAGAAAATCTGAAATTAATAACTTAGTATTGTTTTGTAAAAAAATATTGAAATGAATTTCATAATTGAAATTCTTTATGCGAAATGTAAAATCAAAACAAAATGGATTATCTATAATTGTGGCATTATAGAAACGGAAACTCTTAATTTTTTGCTGTTTGCCCAAGGGCCTGACTAAAAAAATCTAATCAACATTATGATGCAAACATTATTTTAAAAACGCTCTTTTTGTCACAGGCATTTTTTAAAGTAAAGTTCAATGTAAAAACGAAATATTTTTTCAAAAATCGAACACAAAAAAATCCCAAAAATCTAGAGCAGCACGGTCTATGGTAATTTTTTTAGTTCGATTTTTGTTTCAATAATTATAACAAACTAGTGGAGTGATTTCACAAAAAATAAATGATTGTCATTGTGGTAAAACATCATAGCAATAAAATCAATATTAAAATATATATTTACATGCAAATTTTCTTGGTTAAATATGAGTTATACCTTTCTGTGATACAAACAGGGGATGTAGAGTATCTGGTTCCATCGAACTGTCAACCACTCTGTGGATTACAAAGTATATGATGTCATGTAAACTTAATTATAAACTAATCTGCACTGTTTGCACTTTTGTCAACTGACAAAGTTTTTTCTATATATTAAGCAAAAGACACAAAAAAAAAACATTTTTATTCCTTGCTGTAAATTTGTCTTTTTCAGAAACCTATGAATCGGAAGCAGTACTTATAGTACGTATTGGCAGGCAACGTTATTTCAAATGTTCAAAACTCTGAAATAATCCTCGTCCATTTCGCATTAATAAACGTTGAAAAATTCCTAAAAAAGAGTCGGCACAGTGAAAGCAAATAAAATGCAACGGAAATTCCTGTATGAAATCCAATATAGAGATGCCATGTACGTCGAGATATATAGGCTATGAAAAGTTTAAAAAACAGTAAGTCATGTTTGACTATGTTAGTTTATTTTGCTGCCTCCGTGGATGAACAGTTATCACGCTGGACTGCCACGCAGAGGTCCCTGATCCGATTTCGATTCGGGCCGGGAGAAATATTTGTATCGCCTACATTTATTTCTCTTACGAGTTTGGGGGTAATATGTGTTTGTCTATATGTGTCTCCATGGCACCCGCGATACAGGGTTTCCCTAGTGCGGAGCTATGAGTGCGTGGTTTATTTTATTTATATTTATTATTTGTGTTATTTTTGCATCGTCATCTTGTCTTAAAATAAAATTATAAGTAAAAACATATTTAAATAACAAGATTTTATTAAAGTAAAAATTATTACGGAAAAAAGTACTAAAACGAAGAAAATAATAAGCCTGTAGCGCTATAGAAGCTTTTAAAACGTGCTTCGAATGTAATCAAATTTGCTAAATTAAACTATTGTATCTCGCTTGAGGCTCTGGTTTTAACGGTTTGATGATCGTAATTGCCGTGCGGCTTATTAAACGTACAACGTTTTTCATCATATTTGTTGGACAATTAAAAATAAAACTAAAAAAAATGACGAATGTATTTTGTTGAAGAAACTGAAACAAAGTACAGTAATTTCTACTCTACAACAATATTCGAAAATGGAAAGCGCCGTGCTGTTACTGCGCATGCGTTTTGTTGTTTCGTACTCAAACAGAAAATGTCTATGTTAAGATACATAATTATGTAATGTATGTGTATATGTAAGTGAAGTGTGTATAAAGCGCTAGATGTAAAGTGAATATATAAAAATATAAATCATATAATGAAAATCATAACAAAAATTATTTCACGAAATATGCTTTAATGATGTGTGTTTAGCATTAATAACTTCAATTAAAATTAACGAAAAACTCCGGGTGCAAAACACCGTACTCCAAAAAGTATTTGTAAGCTATTACTATATATATTCGAGACGAACTCAATGAGCCCAAAAACAATAAATAATTGTACTAAAAATGGTACAGGATGGTTAGGTGATCTGCATTCTGTCCTGGTTGCAGCGTCAGATCAAAGTTACCAACCACATTATTGTTATGTCATCATTTAGACAGTATACCCAAGTTCAAGTCGATCGGACAAATGGAAGTAAAATAAATTAATAGCATTATAAAATTAAAAGTATTTAATATAATTATTGGTTTATTGTTATGTATTAATATTATATTATATAATTTAATATTATATATAAAATATAGTATGTATATCTC